TAACTTTTTTAATTTTGTTTTTATTCTTTTATAGTAAATCTTACCAATTAAGTTTTCAAAAAAGAGTTTTGGTCTTAACTTTATTCATGAAAATACTGCTTATCACATATACAAAGAAACTCTTCACGTCACTTTTTCATATACATGTACACCATGCAGTGCTATTTTTTTCACATTTTTTATGATACAATCCTGCAAACAAAAAAATAAGAGTACATGATGCAATTAATGCACCTCTCTCGCATTACTCCTTCACGCAGGCTCTCTCACTTTTTTTGAACTTTTGAATTTAGTAAATAATATGATAAAGATAACCATGCATATGAATTCTCTCTCGACGTGGATATCAATACAATACATACTCCTCACACACTGTAAAGTTCCCTCTCTCATCTCCTTTTACTTTTTTTATGTTTGGAATTTTATTTTTATCGATCTTTTTGCAAACTCGAATATAGACTAAATTATTTTGAATATTTCTGCGTTTCAATTCTAAAATTTTGAGTGTGTTTGATATACTTATAAAAAAAATAATTTCGTTTACGATTTTAGTCTCAATTCATTCGATTTAAATTAATTTTCTAACAATCTTATAAATATTTAAAATAATAGCAACTAAGACTTCCGTATCAAAAATCAATAACAGTAATAATCCACAAAATAGATTCGGATACGTTTTTATTGCATTTCATAGAAATTAAACGATTATAAAAATCATAATAAAATATGAAATTTTCTAACATCAAGTCAGATTTAAATATTATAATTTTCCAGAATGATTAATCTATATCATATTATTTAACTAAAGATGATTAATTACTGATAATGCATTTCAGTTGATCATTTGGCAATCACAATAGAAATTGTATGTAAATTATGATAGTTTCCATGTCAGTAATATATTGGCAAACATAAAAAGGTTCATTATGATATTCAAAATTTAAAAATTTATGAGAAAAATTATAACTGTGACTATAACTTTTATGAAACCATTGCACTAATGTTTTCTTATATAGTAAAAGAAAGATTATATATATATATATATATATATATATATATATATATATATATATATATATATATATATATATATATATATATATATATATATATATATATATATATATATATATATATATATATATATATATATATATATATATATATATATGATATGATGTTCTAAATTCATGTCTAATATATTAAAAGTAATGTTTATTTTGTGACATTAAATTTTTTTTATGTATGATTTATCAGTTATTCAATTATGTGAATTTGAATAATTAAAAATATTAGTTTGTGGAGTATATAGTTGAATGTAAGTTACATAATTGAGCTTAATATTTTTTTTAGTATAAGGTATATAAAGATTATTTAAAGATGGATCATGACTTTTATATATATATATATATATATATATATATATATATATATATATATATATATATATATATATATATATATATATATATATATATATATATATATATATATATATATATATATATATATATATATATATATACCTTTGATTTTGATTCTAATGTAACTATTGAATCTTGAGATGTGAAATTTTTAAAACCTTATCAAGGATGATAAGGAATTTGAGATTTCAACAAATTAAGAACTTCGTGAAAAAGATTCTTCACGGATTGTTGAAACACAACCCGGACTAAGGACAATCAAGAGAGTCTGAAAGACTAACGATCTAGGACTGAACAAAAATAGTTCTCGACTTATTTCCTTTATCTTGTGGAAGGAAATTGTGAGAATTTTGTTTGAAAAATTCCTATTATTCTTCAAGTGGAAGATGATCCTAAGACTTAAAGGAAAAAATTAAACTCAAAGGACTTCTTTTTTTGAAAGGGCACTATCTAAGACAAAATGAACTATGTAATGTCAAACTAAACGGTTTTAGACAAAAGGAAGATGTTGATTATTTCGACACATATGCACTAGTCGTAAGCACAACGAAAATTAGTACATCATTTGCATTAACTTCTTTGCAAAACCTTATAGTTCTTGAAATGGATGTCAAAATAACATCCCTAAATAAAGATCTCGATGAGGAGATTTACATGGAGCTGCTAGAAGGTTATGTCGAAATAAATAAAAAAGTGCGCAAGTTTGACAAATCCTTATATGGATTAAAACAAGTACCAAAACAATGACATCAAAAGTTTGACTCTGTCATTGTAAGATTCACCAATTAAGGGGAGACACACAACTTAGGGGAGATTTTTCAATCATTATTAAAACAAAAATTCAAAGAATTTGTCATCATCAAAAGGAGAGATTGTGAAAAATGCGTCTTATATCTAGTTCAATTTTGACGATGACAAAGATTACCAAAGGAGAAAAGGTTCAAAAGCGTCATGCACATCAATGATGAAGTTGATCAAGAAGGTTTAACATATAAATTCAAGTGAAGAATTGAGACAAGTGAACATAAATAAAGTACTCATTGCAATTTATACTATACTATTTTAAATTGCTCATAATTTCATCTCTCACTTTATTTAAAACCTTCTTGCATCATCATGCATGATTATCTAAAAATATTTTGTATCTAATTCTTGTTACAAGTGTTTGTACACAGAGTTATGTGAGAATATTGTGATATTCATTTGTCTCCATATTGATTATATGATTGATCATTAGCAACGAGATGAATAGAATGTTAAAAACGAAGAGGTTTCTAACTTCCGCATTCAAGATGAATGATCTTGGACTAGTTGAAACATTTTTGGGGATCAAAGTAAAGCGAAATAGTGGGAGTTATAAACTTAGTCAAACACACTATATTGAGAAAATACTTGACAAGTTCAAACACTTAGCTTTAAGAAAGTGACCACTCCATTTGATCCTAGTGTCAAACTTCAAAAGAATGATGGAAGAATTGTGGCTCAATTGGAATATGCAAGTGCTTGCAATGTACTAGACCCGATATAACATTTACATTTAGTAAAATGAGTAGAATTTACTAGCAACTCAAATGGTGAGCATTGGAAGGCCATTATTAGATTTTTTTGTATATAGTCTCCATCACGGTATACTTCCTGCCATATTAGATGGATATACCGATGCAAGTTGGATATCAAGTGTTGAATCTCATAAATCCGTATTTAGGTGAAAAATTACACTAGTCGATGGTGCAATTTCTTGGAAGAGTGAGAAACAAATGTGAATCACTCTTTCAACCATAAAATCAGAGTTCGAGGCTCTTGTTTCCGGTGGTGAAGAAGTTGAATGGTTGAGGGACCTTCTGTTGAAAGTTCCATTGGCTAAAGACAATGTTTTAAAGGTGTACTAAGTCACTTGCCAGAGACTTAGTAAAAACAACCTCGAGAGGCATGTGGTTGAAACTCCTTGAGTAAGAGTTTCGACAGCGGCGACAACCCAATCTTACGTTAACAGAACATTAACCTCAAGATTCAATGGGTAACAACAAGTCGTTGATTTGGATGTTTGTCGAACATTTCGTGATAATGTTGGCCTTTAAAATGAGGGTTGAATTTTTATTTAAACTTTTAATGAAGTTCAATACCGAGGGTATGTGTCTCATAGAAAAGGATGCAATATGAATTGCGCCAATGTGAATTTCGAGATGGTGTCGTCTCAAAGTGAGAGTTGGGGTTTCTCTCATAAAAAATTCACGAAAACAGGAAAAACACATGGTCATAAATAGTGTTAGACGAGAGATGTAGGCGAAGAACCACTAAAAATTTGTGTAAAGTAAAGCTGGTATAATCACAATGGATAATGGTTCAAAGCATAACTACCTAACATTCCAATTAAACTTTGTGTTATCCTTATTAAGATTAAGTTTAAATCAAAAGATACTTAATTATATTAACATTTTTTTCATCTCTTTTTCTATAATTAGTCTTGTCATTATTAGAACAAGTGGGAGATTGTTGTAAATTATTAAGAATTAATAATCTTGAGTGTGTTCCAAAATAACAAGAAAATATGCAAGTGAAGATTAATTTTAAATTCAGAAATAAGCAATACTTATGAAGTGTTGTAGTAAGTTTGAATTCGGAAATAGGCTGAATTATCCTAAGTATTCCTGCGTTCTAACCTTAAGACATTTGAGAGTGTTTGAAATACTTATAAAAATAATAATTTTGTTCACGATTCTATCCTCGATCCATTCAACTTGAATTAATTTTCTAACAATAATAGCATGATAAAGATATTGACATATAGTGGCACATAACAATTTTGACTCTTTTATTTTAATAAATTAATTAAAACCATATAACTTGGTTATTAAATATGTCGCATAAAACAAAGGTGAAGATTCATAGCTAAATCTAAAAATAAAATAAAAAAATCATTAAATTTCAGATAGTCACTAAAAGTGTCACTAATATAATTATTAAATATGTTCATGTCTCTACTTGTATTTTTATTACATTGAAAGCAAAATGATATATTTTTTTTGCAAACAAAACATTTAATTAATAATGGTATTTCGATGATTTTAAAAAATGATATACGGATGATTAAAACTCGAATTTAATTTTAATCTTAAAAAAGGAAAAATCCATCGGGTAGATAAAATAAAAACGGCCGTTAGCAAAAAAAAATAAAAAAATAAAATACAAACGGCTGAAGCATTTTTAAAACATTTTAAACCGGTCTCTCCTTTAATTCAACACTACCATATGATACTTGTAATACTCACTCATTCAAGAAAAATATATTTACCACTGGTTGATTTTATCTTCATTTTCCAAAAAAAGAACACAGTTTTACCTGTGGTATTTATTTCCTTAACAAACAACTAAAATAACATTATCCTATAATACTGGGTCCTAAACACCATTGACACTCTCTCTTTTTTCTACCATTTGTGACCGTAAATTCCTCTTACCACACCAACAAACCCTCGAGAATCTCTATATATACATACAAATTCATCAACAATTAATGCAACAAAATCATAAACAATTCCTCAACAGAAACTAAAAAGAAACTACACAAAAAACACAATGGCATCATTCACCCTTTTCACCTCCCTCCCAAAATTTCTCCCTGCTGGTGCATCATTTGCAAGGGCTCATCCTTGGAATTCTAGAGTCTTTGCAGCAGCTGCCCCAAGATCTATCCAAGTGACTTATTATTCACTTTTCTCTTTGCATACATGATTATAATTATAACTTATATTTTCATAGTATTATCGTTCATAATGTATTGTGATGAATACGCAGGTTCCAAAGTCACATAACGATGATGGTTCAATCACTACCGATGGAATCAAACAAGGAGGAGGAGTCAATGAAACCGTTAACAACAGTTTGAACGAAACACAGCATGAAAAGGCTTATTCCACTTCAGAACATGTAATGTAGCAGCGAAGTTTGTTATAAATTTTATTATATATAGTTTTATATAAATATTAAAGTTAGTACTAGTAACGTGTCTAATTTTACGTAGCAGGTTGTTGACAAAACAAAAGATGCTGCTAATAAGGCTTCGGCGGCAACACAAAACATAGCTGAGAAAGCAAAGCAGACAATGCAAGATGCATGGGATTCAACTAAGAACACAGCTAATAGAGCTGCAGACACTGTGTTGGGAAAGGCTCAACAATCTTGTGACTCAACTAAGAGCAATGCCAATAGGGCTGCAGACACTGTGTTGGGAAAGGCTCAACAATCTTGTGACTCAACTAAGAGCAATGCCAATAGGGCTGCTGACACTGTCGTCGAAAAAACTAAGGAATCTGCTGAATATGTCAAAGATAATGCAGAGGCAGTGAAGAGGAACATGAACAAAAAGAATTGATTCCATTCAACATCTTATTGTATATGCTAATTTCATATTTACCATTTTTTGTTTTTGTTTTTATTTTTTATTTTGTAACTGATATGGCACCAATTATGTATATGGAGAAGATGCTTGTTTCTTCCCAGTGCCATAGATGTGAAACAATGTCATTTTGTTTCATCTGTCAATAAAATTAATATTTGAGTATTTCTTTTCTTCTTGGAATGTTTACTTTTTGTATAATACTAGGCAATGGCACCATTTGCATACCAAATTCTCCCCCTTGATAGGATAACCCTTAGGCAATAGCTTATAGACCTCTTCACCCAAATCATTGAGGAAAACATTACTAATATCAAGTTGAACAAAGCATTCAAAACAAATTAAGATCAACCATTCGAGCTGCATAAATCAACAAAGCATTGAGTGAAAGCGGTTAAAGAACATACTAGAAATGAGTAAAGAAGCTTTGGTAGTTGAACTGCTGAGAAGGATTTGCAAAAAGATAAAAACTAATGATGAAAACAAGCTTTCATGTACCAATTCTACTCTCAAGTGTATCTTCTAGATTCACTTTTCAGCCTATCATTTTTCATATTTGATGATACAAAGAGTTCATTATGCAAGATCTGTTTCCTTTATAATCACATTCTTCTTGTTTGCTATCACTAGTCATCTTCTTGAGCTTGCTCAGTGCTACTAGGGAGTGAAAGCAGAGACTCTGTATAGACAACCATTAGAGATCTTTTTGATAAGAAGAATTCCACAAATATATTCTTTAAGATTTAGGGTTACTAAAATAAGGAATAGAAAGGAAAAATAAAAAAAAAGAAAGATTAACTTTTTCTTCATGTCCAACTCAAACCATACAATAATGCTTAAATATAAAATAAGCTGGACTTACTACTAATTTTAAATGGGCCAGCCCATAAAGACAACATAAATAAAGCAATATTTTAAAATTAATTGGTGTAGAAATCCTTCATCCAAATAGGCTGATTTCTGATGGGCTTGTTATCATTACTATCCGGCCCACTTAAAACCTTGCCCTCAAGGTTATTGTTGAAGGAGTTTTTGGGCCCTTTTGAGAAAGCTTTGGCCCACGAATGAGGCCCAACCGTGTTAGCAAGTGAAGGGCGCTTTGGAAGGTTGGAAACCGTGGAAGTGGGAACTGTAACACCCCAATTCAACCCCTCGTAATAAATAATAAAATCAGAGTTTCAAAATTTCATCCAAACATAAATTGAGGTATCACATATTCATTTTCATCACTTTGCAATATAATGCACAACACAAAAATCAAAAGTCGGATATACCGATTCATATCATTAACATCATATAACCATATGAGTATTCACAAAATATACGCATCAACAAGTTATCATCAATACATAAATTCATAAAGTCATAAAATAGTATACATAAACTATCATATCCAAAATAATAACGTCGCCCAAATCCCGAGTGTTACTACTATCAGAGCAGAGCGACTCAAAAAAAAAGAGACTCGAGCTAATCCACATCATCCTCGCGGATCACCTGCACGTTACCAATATAAAGGCAACGACGAAACAAGTAAAGGGTGAGATACTCCAAAACATATAATTAAAGGCATGATGAAATATATGAATAGTTTGGAATCATAAATGATATAGGATTAATAAGAATATATTAACACATATCCAAATCTCACACACTTTAAATCATCATTTAGTGTATAGAATCAACACTTTAATTTCGTCACATACTCGCCATAATCATATCAAAACAAGATATAAACTCCATCGCCATAAATTCATATCGTCGCTTTACCGCCATGTTATATTCGTCGCATAATCCTCGTGAATGTATCAAATCTTAATCACTTTATGTTTAACATAAAAATGATCACAAAATAAAGTATCCTACAACATCACAATTCATCATAAGTCATCAAATAAAACTCAATGCCAAAAGACTCAAAATAAACATAACCGACTCCATGAGACACGACTATGTTATGCATGTGGTACCCGTCGCTTTGTCCATAATTAGGGACATTTGGCATAAAGCCCATCGTCGCTTTGGCATAAAAGCCCTCGTCGCTTGGCATAAAAGCCCTCGTCGCCAATGCAATGTATGTGACTTGACAACACGACATCACAAACACGACACAACAAAAACATCATCATCACGCATCAAGATTGGCATAAAGCCCACGTCGCCATACTTATCCACATCAAGATAAACATATCATCGCATCGCATATCATCAAGTATTCATTATAAATAAACCGTCGCAAACATCATGTTTAATCACACCACATCATTATCAAATAATTCACTTCATTCCAAACATGGAAAAATAATCAAACATCAATAATCGTCGCAAAAGTCATTCATAATAATCGGCATCAATCATAATTATCAACGTCGCAATCGGATTGTCCATACGCGACTTAAACCGACTAAAATGCAACCCGTTTAGAATTAACCGTAAATTGGCCTATTTTGGGTCACTCCGTTAAAAACTCGTAATCTCTAAAAACTAACCTCACCACGACGTTCTACACGTCAAAGTTAGCTAGCACGTCAATTTTCGTCCAATTCGGAGTAACTAGCTCCGTCGCCGAAATTACCGAAATCGAGAAATCAGAACATAATCGGGTTCCAAATTAAATTGGCTAACTTATTTCATATTTGTATTTAATTAATATAATTATTTAATATATATAATAATATAAATAGAACTTTAGCAGAAACAGAGTTTCTGCATAAGTTTTCCTGCATAACTTTTTTTTTTTTTTATAACATTAATATAATTAGTTTTTCTTTTCTAATTTAATTATTCTTAATTAATTCAATAACAATCCAACAACAACAATAACACCTAAATCAATTCTTCTAACCTCTATCAAAATCACTCAACACAACTCATAAACCCTAAAAATCAATTTTATCCCAAATCAAAATATACCAAATCAAACTCTAACTATAGGCATTGGAAAATCAAACCCCTTACCTTATATACTTGAAATGATTCTTGATGATTCAACCAACCCAAAACCCAAGCTTTGTGTTCTTGTTCTTCTTCTCTTCTCCAAGACCCTCTAGCTCTCTCTCTAATGCCTCTAAGTGTGTTTTGTGAGTTATGACATAAAACAAGGTGTATTTGGTTTTGATTAGTAGCAAGACATAATTCAAATTACCAATTAGCCCCTCTTAAAGTATACTACTCATAACACTAAATAATATTATTAACCTAAATAATTAAAATAACTCCAAATAATTAAGTATCAGTCCGAATAATATTTTACCGAACCGAACGGAATGAAAACCGGACCGAACAAAATAATTACCGGTCTCTCAAAACAAATACCAGACCGAATAAAATAATTACCGGTCCCTCAAAACAAATACCGGACCGAATAAAATAATTACCGGTCCCTCAAAACAAATACCGGACCGAATAAAATAATTACCGGTCCCTCAAAATAATTATCGGACCGAATAAAATAATTACCGGTCTGAAAAATACGTCGCCAAATATATTAACAGATATATCAGTTAGTATAAATATTCTCGTCGCAAAATAAACGTCAAACGGTAACTCGAAAATATTAATATAATATTAAATAAAACGGGGTGTTACAACTCTCCCCCACTTAAAAGAATTTCGTCCTCGAAAATTTACCTGACTCGAAAAGCTCGGGATATGAATCCTGCATCTTGCTTTCCAACTCCCACGTTGCGCTTTCACCAGCTGCTCCTATCCACACAACTTTGACCAAAGAGATCTCCTTACCACGAAGGGTCTTTATCTCTCGATCTTCAATCCTCAACGGCATCGTCTCCACCGTAAGATTGTCTCGAACTTGAATATCATCCATCTCAATTACATGTGAAGGATCCGGAACATACTTCCGAAGTTGCGACACATGAAATACGTCGTGCAAGTTCGAAAGATTCGGCGGTAACGCCACTCGATAAGCCACTTTTCCCACTTTACTAGTGATTTGGTAAGGTCCAATAAAGCGAGGAGTTAACTTCTTCGATTTCAAAGCTCTTCCAACACCGGTTGTAGGAGTAACTCGTAGAAACACATGATCACCCGATTGAAATTCCAAATCTTTCCTTCTTTTATCATGGTAACTCTTTTGCCTACTTTGCGAAATTCTCATCTTTTCTCTAATCATCTTAACCGCCTCGGTTGTCTCTCTAACCAACTCCGGTCCAAGCACCACACTTTCACCCGACTCATGCCAACACAAAGGAGTTCTACACCTCCGACCATACAAAGCCTCGAAAGGTGCCATTCCAATACTCGAGTGAAAACTGTTGTTATAAGTGAACTCAATCAAAGGAATATAAGTATCCCATGAACCACCGTGTTCAAGAATACAAGCCCGCAACAAATCTTCTAAAGATTGAATTGTTCTCTCCGTCTGACCATCGGTTTGAGGATGATAAGTTGAACTTAACCTCAACTTAGAACCCAAAGTTTCTTGCAAGCTTTTCCAAAAATCTGAAGTGAACCTCGGATCTCTATCCGAAACGATACAAAGAGGAATACCATGTAATCTCACTATCACATGCGTATAAATTTCCGCCAACTTTGATACGGGATAAGTGATGTTAATAGGAATAAAGTGAGTCGACTTTGTGAGCCTATCAACGATAACCCATATCGCATCATGTCCTCTTGGTGTATTCGGTAACCCCGTCACGAAATCCATAGAAATGCTATCCCATTTCCATTCCGAAATCTCTAACGGTTGCATCAGCCCAGCAGGTTTCTGATGCTCCACCTTCGACTTCTGACAAGTCAAACAAGCATAAACAAACTGAGCTACTTCTCTTTTCATACCAGACCACCAAAATAACTTCTTCAAATCTTGGTACATTTTGGTCGCTCCGGGATGAATACTCAAGTTACTTCGGTGACATTCTTCTAAAATCATTCTCTTCAAATCCACATCATCAGGAATACAAATCCTGTCACAGAATCTCAACACACCATTCGCATCCAACTTGAAATCA